ATCATGTAATCTGCTCCTGTATATTTCAATCTTTTCTGCGCAAATCGCCAAAGTTGGTGAATGTACTGGTTTAATAATACTTGCTTCGTCCCATTTGACGATTGAGCCCTCAACTTGCGCCATTTGCGATAGTATTGTGGCGTTAGATCCCTTACTGACATTGTATTTGTGTTCTTTTAATCTGACTCCTAAACTTCTATTAGTGACACCAATATAATTTTTATTGATGTCTAGTTCACGATTTTCATATGGAATCTTGTATACACCTGCTCTTTTTTCTTTATCTATGCTGTCTTTGTCATTCCTTAATAATCTGTACAGATTAGGAGCTCTCTTGAAAATTAACCTTGACTCTTTGTGGGCTGAGATTTCCTTCATGATGTCTTTTCTCTTTCTATCATACGTGAACTTTGTGATTTTGCCGAAATCGCCGTTTTGCGTTTTAGTTTTATTTGTTTTGTATTTTCTGATCAATGTTGTTATCATATCTTCTCTGTACCCTAGAGATCTGGCAATACTTAATATTCTATTAATTTCTTTCTGCCTATCCAACACACTACTGCAATAGAGAAAGGCCTTTGGATAAGTGCACGGAAGGCAGCCATTTTGTATTGGTAGGGATCATTAGAATGGGACGGAATGTACAGGCTATGCGTCGGTTTTACGTACACATTAGTTGTCAAACGCCCTTCTTTAAATTCAATGTCAATATCTAAAAAATGTATCCGTGAAGCACATTTTTGTTCAATCTTCAACATGAGACCATCATCGTTGCTGTTTATCATGTTGATAAACTCATCAATTTTTTGTTCATTCTTCCAAATTACCAAGACATCGTCCACATATCTTTTAAAATATACAATGTTTCCAACCTTCTCAATACAAGCTCACATAAAAGTCCTGACATGGGACTTCCCATAGGGACTCCTCTTCTTTGTCTGTACCGACGGGCATTAAATGCGAAAAAAGATTGATAACAAATAAGGTTAGCTAGTTCGATCAAATCATTATTGTAACACGCTAAATTTGGGTTCATGCTGTGCATGAAGTCTAAAAGTGCTACTCTGCATGATTCAATTTTTATAGATGGATATAAACTTTCATAGTCCATCACTGTTCCAATTTCATCTTCCATTAAAATTAGATCTTGTATCTCATTAACCACTTCTCTTGGATCATGTGCCACATGTACATACATTATTCTCTAAGTGCGAGGTGAGAAACTTATGTAATCTCTTTTCAAGAATAAATGTTGGTCCTCTGCACCTTTCCACTACCGGTCTCATTTCTTTACCCTCTTTATGGGTCTTGGCAAAAGCAAACAATCTAGGCATACCTGGCCTGGGATTTCGACAATTTTTGAGGAAAGGTAATGCATTACTCAGCTTAGCCTTTTCAAGCTTCTTAANGTGCGAGGTGAGAAACTTATGTAATCTCTTTTCAAGAATAAATGTTGGTCCTCTGCACCTTTCCACTACCGGTCTCATTTCTTTACCCTCTTTATGGGTCTTGGCAAAAGCAAACAATCTAGGCATACCTGGCCTGGGATTTCGACAATTTTTGAGGAAAGGTAATGCATTACTCAGCTTAGCCTTTTCAAGCTTCTTTTTAAATTAAAGCGTTAAATTTAAAAAGAATAATTAGGCTAAAACTCTGGCCTTCACACTGAAACTAAAACTAAATGAAAAACATAATTAATTAATTAATTAAAATTAAAATCAAATCAATTGAAACATAATATTTCATGAATGTGTGTGGATAAAGTACTTTTTCGTCTTGATTGATTCGGTTATATTTCAAACGTCAGAGTTCAGTCTCTATTTACAGCACTTTTTTCGAAAGTATAGTTTCTGTTCGGATGGCGTTGAAGGAACATTTTGTTTTTAATATAGGCCTATATATATATATTTATACTAAATATCTACCTTTCGTAAAGCTGCGATCGTTCCCGTTACAAATTCAAGCTTTGTATCGGATTCAACTCCTTGTTCTTTCCAGTACCTGAATTTTTTTTCCACGTAACTATAATAATTAAAACAAAATACATGAAAATCGAAATGAATGAATTCATAAAATTCCATTTCTTAATTTCTAAATAAAACATGTTTTATATATCATTATATATGTAGGAATAGTTATTGAGATAGAGAAATAGAAATGACAATAATCCAGCGTTCGTAACCGTCGTAACCGTCTTGATAGAATGATAATATTCTCGTCTTCGTAACGTCTTTTTGTCCTTTCTCACTTTCGCGTCGTCACCAACTGTCGTCTTTTTTACTTCTTCCCTTACTTGACTCTCTCACCTCTTTCTCACTTCTCCCTTTCTTGACTCTCCCTCGTTCTCCTCGCCTCCCCCCGCAACCCCTCGTAAATTTATTGCCTTAATGGTTTAGGAATGTTACTCGTCTAAACCCCACATATATAATTTTATGCAAGTACACAGGCAGTTTATTTACATCCTGTTAACAAATAATTCCTATAAAATTAAAACATACGAAAGAATCAAATTATTTGTTGAATAATTTAATTAATATTATAAATAATAGTAATGTAATTAAATTATAAATAATTGGTATATATTAGAACATACAGAGTACTAAAATATATTTGATATACATTACTTTATCTGAAAATAAATAAAATATTCTTATCTTCGTTTAATCTCTAGATCGTAATCCAAATTAAATATTTAAGTGATTTACGTAATTATAATAATCATGAAAGATTTAATGGACAGTATTATTTTCTGAAATAAGACATTTATTGTTTTTAATTCTACAGCACTTTTTCCTATTAAAGTGAAAAGCANTTTGAATTTGGAATACGAGTCTATTAATTTAAATTTTCTATATTATAGCAGAGGAAGTGTAGAAAAAATGGAAGGTACAAAGGGATAGATAGCCTATATGAGAGGAAAAAATTAATAAAATTAGTACTGTTGGTGGCAGTGGTGTTTTCTATTCGGCCAGAATTTTTACGTATGTGTGTTCTGGCATAAAAGCGTAAAACAGAAACTGAACTGAAAGCTGATTTCTGATTCAGTTTTCTGCCACACAATTTTACGCATGTGTGTTCCTGGCCTAAGCCTAGAAGCCTAACAATGGCGTTTGATACGTCGAGCATGATTCCACTGACGTTTCAAACGCCATTGTCAAACTTCTAGGCTTACAGGAAGGCGGCGCTAAACGTCCGACGTACACGTTTTCGCGATGAAAACGTCGGCCGCAACCTCTCTAATGTCTTCATTACTTTGCTTAATAAATAAAAAACAAGACAGAGGCTTGATAGTGTTTATGATTGCAATGCCTTTTTAAAACTACACAAATTTTTAAAATTAAATTATTCTTAAAATATAATTAGTAAATAGTAGGATGTTTTTAAAGAAAAGAGATATCATTCTATTATATTTAAATCTATTTTCAACGAGTTAACAATTATTTTAAAGTCTTATTTAACTTTATATAAATTAAATATTTTTTATCTACTAGATAACTATGTTTATTATTTTATGTTTATTAATTTCGCAATTTTAATCCGTTTCCGATTCTATTTCCTAAAAATTAGCTTTTTAGTATTTTCAATTCATTTCCGGTTCAATTCAATTACTAACACATAACAATAAGAAGGAAAAGAACTGAATTACTGAAGAAAGTGCAAGAAAAGTCGGTGCTGTATAAATAAAATATTTAAAATTTTTAAGTGAATATTATTAAGTTAATTCTGAGAAATATGGAAAGAGTTCAGCCTTTCGTACCTTACATATGTAACCATCTCAAACCGACGTTACTAGTTAATGCTAATAATTATAATAATTTAATATTTAATAAATAATTTACATTACTTACTAAATATTAAATTATTGTATACTGGCACAATGAAGTGACTTCTTAACCAACACTTGGCAAGTTTTCCATCTTTATTTACTTATTAAATTATTGTAATTATTAAATTTAGTAAGAGATGGCGCCCAACGTTTACCTCTAGTAACAAATTATTTAAAATTTAATTATTAATGTAGCCGAAAACTGCCCGATGCATTATGGTATCGTTTTGCAATTAGTTTCGTACCTTCCTTATAATTTATGAAGAGATTTTATATATTTTAAAAGTGTAACTGTAAAAAGAATTTACTTTTTTCATTCTAATATCTTCAAACTTCATGAAATTTTTGTGCTATTTGAAATAGATATTTACATTTTGATCTTTTATTTTCAATTTTTTACGTATTATGTATGTGCTATAGTTTAAAACTTAATTAAATTAAAACGTAGGCTACAATAAATAGCAATTGTATCATCTCTTAATCGAATTTTTACAAATGTTTTATTGTGAAAAATTTTATTTTATATTCGAATGTTTGAACTGTTCAATTTAAACAAAAAATGCCGTCATCTATTTAAATCAGGGCTGTGAAGTCGGAGTCGGAGTCGTGGAGTTTTGGTGTTTTAGCCGGAGTCGGAGTCGGAGTCGGATTGGTAAGGAAAAGTCGGAGTTGGAGTCGGTAGATTTTTACGCGACTCCACAGCCCTGATTTAAATAGACTAGTCCAAACATTCTGTCCGTCATTTTCACCTCATTACAAGAATAGTTTTTATAACTATTTTTATCTTCTTTTTTTAAAATCTTTCATGCAAAAATAAAAAATAAAAAAATGTCTCCTGTTTAATGTAATGAGAAACAATGTAAGTAATTTTAAATTTATTAAAGAAATCTTAATAAATGTATAAAACATTTTAAAACAATTTTTACAACCTTTCCAAAAAAAGTCGTCTGTGTCCGATGATTTTCGACGTTTAACCAGATACTTTTTACGGTTATTTTACGGTTAAATTCTACAATTTTAATGAAATGAACAATTTTAAATTCCAGCCACCTAATAGAAAAGTATATAATTTTTGTGACAAATATTACATCGTTTTTATTTTATAAAAGGAATAAAGCTCATATTTAGATTTTCACAGTATATATGTTCCACAAAAGGGATGCGGGAAAGATGAAAAGGATGACTTCTGAGTGGAATTAGATGAAATGGTAATGAAAGAGTAAGAGGTTGATCATTGGTGTGATGTAAATGGACATGTGAGAACATGAAAAATAGAGCAAGATTAATGCAATGCGGATGGAGTATAGGCGATGAAGAGATAGAAAGAAGGATAGAATATTGGAATACGCAGTAGCGTTTTTCTTAGCAGTAGTCAACACTTACTTCAAAAAGGAGAATCGGCTTATAATATGTTGTACAAGAGTGGGGATAGGATATGACGGATTGACTACTCTATGTAGCTTGAAATAGTTTAGACATGTAAAAAGAAGTGAGGATTATGTTGGAAAGAGAATTGGCACATTGGGAATGATAGGAGGAGGAAGCTGGAAAGACCGAAGCTGACAAGTTAGCAGAGGATTTGAAAGAGAGATGATACCCTAAATAGATAAGAGTGGAGATGACAGATTAAAGATGAGAATGCTGGCCCTATATAAACATCGAAAAAACAAAGACAGAAAAAAAAGAAACAGGCATTGTTTTAAATCTCACAAACGCATAATAATTACGTAAATGTGAAAAAAGCCATGTATAGGCCATATATTTTAATTATAAATAAATATTAATGAATTAACTAAGTTCTAATTTAATAAAACATTTAAGAAAATAGAGCATGCGCGTATCTATCATTTTCCTGATTGATTATTATATCGAAGTTCTATGATTAGAAAAGACCTTCAAACTGTCTTTTTACAATCTCTGAATTGCGTCATCTTGTTATCAGATATCGAATTATATTCAGTGATAGTAATGTTAAACAGCTTTTATCTACAATTAAAACAGATATTTACCTTTTAACTTTTTTTAATCGCTAAAATAGATTATCAACAATCGTCATATCGCATAGAACGAAACAAATATTCATTTATACTTTTTAAAATTTTAAATATTTGAAACTTTTCTAAACAGAATAAAAATAAATATAAAGTAACACAGTCAAATATTTTCATTTTCAGAAACTGGATATTTTATATTAAAATTAAAAAATACAGTAGAGCGTCGTTTATCCGAAGGTCGGTTATCCGAAAGAATTCCAGTCGACAAATTTAAATTTTCGCCAGTGCTGTGGCGCTGTAATCTTTGGCTATGTCTTCGGCTACTCAAATATTTTAACGTTTTTGATACTAAATTAACTTCTGAAGTATAATTTTTTATTGTTTTTATATTTTTCAATATATTTATTTTGTTTGTACAAAATAAAAAAATAATTTTTAACGATAAATTCAACGCGAAGCGACACGCAACGGAGAAAAATTTCAATACGGAATAAATTAATATATTTTTTCGTACATAATTTGTTATTCGAAAAATAAGTTATCCGAACAACCCCAGTCCCCAATTGATTCGGATAAACGACGCTCTACTGTATATTAATCGTTACTTTGAATTGCAATTGAAGTAACGACAAATACATATTATTGTATCTTTGATTTGTGGATAATTCTGATTTCTAGTAGTACTGAAATTTACAAAAATCATATACAATATAATTATTATTTAATAACTTGCTAATTTAATTTATTAGTAACTATTTAAATAATATTTTAGATCTTACTATACACTATAAAGAATATTGCCTCTTACACTTACATATAAAATAGAATGACAACCATAGAAGCTAGAATAAGCCAATTGGGTAGAGTAAAACCAAATCCGACATCCATGTTGGCTGTTAGAGTTGACTGTAAAACTTTATCAACGTCATTGCTGTTAAGTACGTTCTTCGTTTATTATTACATCACAGTTACATAATGGTCAGTGATTATTATTTCATAAGCTGCAAAAGTATTTCTCGGTTTACAACTTAAGAACACTTTTATTACAATTTATTATGTATTAATCTAACATATTATATTATTATTAATACTATTATTATGAAATCGTCAAAAATATATACTTCATGAAATAAAAAAATATATATTTTGCTCTGGATAACTCATCTAAATTTTTTATTGATATATGTTTTGTGAAATATGTGTTTAATATTTATAGAGCAATTAATAAATATTTGTCAATAAGAATTTTTCATTAAAAGTAAAAATATTTCAATCTTGAACGAAGTATTTTAAAATGAAAAGTACCGAAGTACTGTACGTGTCCACCAGTGACCAAGCGGTCTACGTACCGTGAACCTGAAAACCATTGTTCGGCAATTAATGACAATCTTTTTTCATTTCGATATTTAATTTCGTCGCCAATACGGTTTAAATACGAACAAATCCATATTTAGAAAATTTATACCGAATTCGAAATTCGTCTTCAGAATAGATTTTTAAGGAATTACGAGTATTTCGACATCATATTACTGTCGCCTTTCGTAACTATCGAAATGAATAATTTTAAATATTTTATTATTAAATATAATTATATATACTATTATTATAATGTATAATAAAGCGTATATGTTTATACTCAGTATTCAAAATATTATGCAATTTATGAAAACATTGACTGAAATTAAATTACTAGAAATATGAATATGCATATTAGGAATGTACAAGACAGGTTTGATATTAAATATATTTCGCAGAATATATATCAGAATTTGAAAAAAACATGAAATTAGGTTAGCTTCAGATACGAAAGTTATTTCTCGTTGCACTAACTCGGAAACATACAAATTCGTATTTTAAAATGCATTCATTCTCTTTCTGAAGGCTTTACATTTTTATATTGCTTGTTTGCGAGCAAAATGCGTGATTCAATTATGCAAAATAAATACAGCAACTATAAAAAGCGTGCTGAAGATTACTTTTAGTTTAATAAATTAAGATAATGAGTCGTTCACGTGAATCTTTCCTAGACTTATTTAAGCAGAAGAAGAAATTCAAATAGATTGTTTTTGTTCTTTTTCATACGATTTATTTTTAATGTTTTTATGAGTTTTTCGAATGTTTGTTTATTATTTTTTTATATCTCATGCAATCATCTTAACTTTAACAATTTTTGGTAAAAATGAAAAATAAAACAAACAAAATTAGATTCATCTGTAACCGCAAAATGATGTATCTGACAATTTATATGACAATGAATTTTAGTGGAGTGGAAACGAATTTTATGCTTTGTGTTTCCACACAGATATTTTCATTCGTTCAAGGACACAAACAGGAAACAGTCATTTGTTATTTATTAGTTATTTTTATGTAACAGTTGATGAAAGTAACACACAAGTTTAGATATGTCCAGCAGATAAATATCGCGATAAAGATCTAGCAATACTTCTCTATCTTTTTACGACGATAGAATCCAAGAAGTCAGTAATAATATCAATATAAAAAATTGTTAATGCTGTATCTCAAAACGGTTGAGTTCTTCACTTAATTTACGCGGTGTTTTTAGTCAGTACGATATATACTAACTACCAGATATATTTGAATGTGTTTTAAACATTTTGTATAAAGATTAGTTATAAATTACAACTTAAAAATGAAGATCGTTTGAATTGTAAAATTAATGGACGTCAGAGTATTATATCAATAACTAGCTTACCCGTCGCGCATTGCTGCGATCTCAGAAGAAACGAAATTCAACAAACTCGTTATGATAAAATTCAATTTACATTTTATCATTTTTATTGAAGCTTATTATTATTATTATTATTCATTTTCATCGGGAAAACATTTCAAAGTGTCGTTTCAATTCTATTTATTTATTGGAGTGCTTGTGGATACACGATATTTTTTTGTTTTTCCGTCTGGAGCGTACACGAATAAATCAGAAGGTTTTCGGACGCGAGCTGGCCACATACAGTTGTACATGCGAGAAGCACGGATTCTCCAAATCTAGCCCACACACTCGCAGCGATTGTCAGAAGTGTGATATTCCCCATTTTTATATATATTTTNTTGGAAAACACCGTTTCCTTTCTGAATAAAATGTATCGCCAATGCGAATTCTCATTCCAAAAGTTCTCTCTCCTATTTTTCCTTCTTCTGGCGTCTGCATAAACATAGCCTTACTTAATTCCTTTCGTGGTTGACAATTCATTCGTCTCGCAAACATCATTAAATCATTAAAAATTTGTAACCATAAACTATAAAACTATAATTTTACATTCTTTATGTTGGTGCTTCTTCTGAATGTTTTGTAAAAAGAAAATTGTTATAATTTTATTATTATTTTTTTAATTTTCCAGCGCTTACTACTTCGTGGATATAAAGCCGGAACACCCCAAGAAGGTTAGATGGTTTAAAGAATTTTATTTTTGTTATTATTTTCTCTGTTGTGTGACAGTTACCAGAAATTTTATTGTCTAAATTAATTATCATATTCGGCAATAAGAGCTTAGATATAACACGTTATAATTATTAAAATAAATTTTTTTCTAGAACGACGATTTAAATTGCTTCTTCGACATCAGATTGGATCGGAACGGATGGAATTTTATAAGAATGGAACCCCGCACACGCATTCAGATTGGATAGGAACGAAATCAGTCAAAATTTCGTCCCCTGAAGCTTCCTTTTTTGCATCAGTTCATTGCAAACACGTGATTGTTTCTGTTTGCTGGAAATATTCCGTTCCAGATTGACTGTGTTTTGCATATATTCAAAATAATTATAGACAAAAAGTTAATAAATTGAATTCAACAGTACCCAAGTACCCAATAGTTTTGAACATTTCATACATATATTAACATAATACTATCAGGAAAAAAATGTGCAAAAAGAAATCTGTGAAATTCTAAATGGAAATCTGAGCAATGTTATTATTACGATAGAAGATTAATTAATGTTTAGAGAAAAAAGTAGATACTGTCTTTCGTTTCAGATAAAAGTTTGTGCAATACTGAGAAAAAATCTTCTTGTCTTTTATATAATATTCTATGTTTAAGTATTAAAATATTGAGATATGGAAGAAAATTATAGAATAACTTTCTTTTATAATTTCTTTATATTATATTATGTAGAACTTCTCACACAAGGACACTATTTGATGAATGAAATAAGCTGTTTTGTACATCGGAAATGCACAGAAAAACCAGAGCAACGTATTGATTTTTATCTTTATAGCAAGTTTTATCTTTCATGTTTTACAATTTTACTAGTTTCACTCCTTTTACTTCTTCGTTCTAAATGTACTTTGTTTCTCCTACAGTCACTTTAAAATATCAGTTTAGTTTAAACAATTTTGTGCAATAAGAACTGAAGAGTGGAAAATGGCCCGAAATGCATTTCCGTTGTACGTACAAAATACCAGTAAAGTGTATTTTTTTATTCACAAAATAGTGTTCTTGTGTGATAAGTTCTACATATAAATTTTGTGCTTACTCCCAAAGAACAAAAGAAAGAACAAGAAGCAATCAAATATTAAAGAAAATTACTTTAGAAATTCAGAATGTCGATTTCAAAACCTAACATAAAACCGCACTGTAAGGAAAACCGGATGCCTCTTTATCATCGTCCGGAATAGGAACCATTTTCATATCACACAACAATAAATATGAAAGGTGCTTCTTTTGAATGTTTTGTAAAAAGAAAATTGTTATAATTTTATTATTATTTTTTTAATTTTCCAGCGCTTACTACTTCGTGGATATAAAGCCGGAACACCCCAAGAAGGTTAGATGGTTTAAAGAATTTTATTTTTGTTATTATTTTCTCTGTTGTGTGACAGTTACCAGAAATTTTATTGTCTAAATTAATTATCATATTCGGCAATAAGAGCTTAGATATAACACGTTATAATTATTAAAATAAATTTTTTTCTAGAACGACGATTTAAATTGCTTCTTCGACATCAGATTGGATCGGAACGGATGGAATTTTATAAGAATGGAACCCCGCACACGCATTCAGATTGGATAGGAACGAAATCAGTCAAAATTTCGTCCCCTGAAGCTTCCTTTTTTGCATCAGTTCATTGCAAACACGTGATTGTTTCTGTTTGCTGGAAATATTCCGTTCCAGATTGACTGTGTTTTGCATATATTCAAAATAATTATAGACAAAAAGTTAATAAATTGAATTCAACAGTACCCAAGTACCCAATAGTTTTGAACATTTCATACATATATTAACATGATACTATCAGGAAAAAAATGTGCAAAAAGAAATCTGTGAAATTCTAAATGGAAATCTGAGCAATGTTATTATTACGATAGAAGATTAATTAATGTTTAGAGAAAAAAGTAGATACTGTCTTTCGTTTCAGATAAAAGTTTGTGCAATACTGAGAAAAAATCTTCTTGTCTTTTATATAATATTCTATGTTTAAGTATTAAAATATTGAGATATGGAAGAAAATTATAGAATAACTTTCTTTTATAATTTCTTTATATTATATTATGTAGAACTTCTCACACAAGGACACTATTTGATGAATGAAATAAGCTGTTTTGTACATCGGAAATGCACAGAAAAACCAGAGCAACGTATTGATTTTTATCTTTATAGCAAGTTTTATCTTTCATGTTTTACAATTTTACTAGTTTCACTCCTTTTACTTCTTCGTTCTAAATGTACTTTTTTCTCTTACAGTCACTTTAAAATATCAGTTTAGTTTAAACAATTTTGTGCAATAAGAACTGAAGAGTGGAAAATGGCCCGAAATGCATTTCCGTTGTACGTACAAAATACCAGTAAAGTGTATTTTTTTATTCACAAAATAGTGTTCTTGTGTGATAAGTTCTACATATAAATTTTGTGCTTACTCCCAAAGAACAAAAGAAAGAACAAGAAGCAATCAAATATTAAAGAAAATTACTTTAGAAATTCAGAAT